ATTGTACAATAAGACAAAAGATCCACCACCTGAAAAGAAAGGAAAGTCCAACCAATCCATGCCTATCTAGTTTCTTCTTCTGCTTTATCTTCCTAATAGATTATTACTACTTGTAATATACAAAAGACCTTCCATAGCTTCATGCATTCATTGGAGTGAAATGGATGCCCAGGCATAAGCCTTGAAAGGGAATTACATATACCCCCTCCCCCTTTTTTACAGCTTTAAATTCAGGCTTTCATAAGAATTAAAAGTTCATTTTTTAAAAGAGTGTTTTAAACAAAGCATTCCAATAATAGGATACATCGCTGAAGCTATAAGCATCTGTGTTTAATTTTATTCCCACTACTCTGCAGAGCCCTTAACTATGAATTAACAGAACAACCTATTTTGGCAATGTAAGAAAAAATAGGAAGAATTTTTCACTATTGTTAGAAACAAACAGTAATTTAGCAAATGCAAACAACCATATAATAAAGAAATTACAGGACTGCAGAGTATATAAATACCATCCTAACGACTGGCACAATGACCTTCTTAAACCTTCAATGCCACACCTGCTGTTGGCTTTAGAATCCAATCTCCTAAAACAGCATGCTACCGTAGATGCACAGCATGTTACAGCTCTTCAGTAACAGAGTAATAGGTGGAAAAACATACAGGCACAGCCATCATCTCCAAACTGTCTGACCTGGAACTTTCTGGAACCAGGACTATCAACTTCCTTTTAAAAATAATCATTACCTAATGTCCTTGGATACATTTTTTTTTCATTGCTGTATGCAATCTCACTGCCAGGTTGTGTAATGAATTAAGATCCTCACATGTATGTAACTGAACCCTTCGGTAGTCCATTACATTGATTGGATGTTTCTTGTAACTATACATCAGCTAATTCCTCGGTAAATTGAGAGACAATTCTAAATCTATTACATACTTGGTGAAAATTACAATGGGTGCAGAATTCAGACTTTACTTTGTAGCCCTTAAAAACTTAATTCAATAGCACACACCTCCCTCCCATAACAAAACTATCAAGAGATAGAATGGGAACTAACCTTTAAATTGATACGATCAAGAAGATCCTCGACAGACTTGGGCTGAGGCGGTCTTCCTTTCCGTCGTCTCCTTGTGGGCCGCTTTGGCTTCTCTTCCTCCTCATTTAATACGTCCACATAGATAAATTTGAATGTGCCCACCTTGTTGTTCAACAGGCCCATCCAAGTGCCCATTGGAGGTTTACTGATTATATCTATGATATCACCTTTCTGAGGGCCCAATGAGAGAGAATGAGACAGTTAAGTGCATAATTCCTATCAATATTCAGGCAAACCCATCATTCTCACTCTGTTTTTCTCTCTCACAGAATCTGAAGACCTCCAAGGGACTTGCAAACATGATTAAATAAGTCTTCATTGCATGCTTGCGAGGTGTGTACTATTATATCCATTTTACAAATGAGGAAGGAGGCAATCCAAGACTAAGGCTATGTTTAAACTTAAAAAACCCACAAGAGCACAGCTGCAGCTGTAGCATTTCATGTAGACACTCATTTCCATTTGCTGTAAGTGCATCCACTTCCTTGAGATGCAGGTGCTCAGTCAATGGAAGAATTTTTCCATTGACCTAGTATTGTCTACACTAGGGATATGTCTACGCTTGCACCCTAGTTCGAACTAGGGATGCAAATACAGGCATTTGAAATAGTCAATGAAGTGGGAATTTAAATATCCCGTGCTTCATTAGCATGATCTCGCCGGCGTGCTAGTTCGAATCACAGCTGATTTGAACCAGGAAGTGCGTGCCGGGATGCGTTAGTTCGAAGGGGCTCTGATTCGAACTAGCGTGCCGGCGAGATCATGCTAATGAAGTGCGGGATATTTAATTTCCCGCTTCATTGACTATTTCAAATGCCTGCATTTGCATCCCTAGTTTGAACTAGGGTGCAAGTGTAGACATACCCTAGGAGTCCAGAGGTTAGGTCATTATAGCTATTACTCTCAGGGGGTGTGCATTTTGGTCTCCCCTGTAAAAACTGTACAGAATAGGGTAAAAGCACACAAGACCATATTTCACAGGAGGACATCAGATGTCAAGATCCATGATACGTTTTTCAGGGCTGTGAATTTGGTAGAACCCTACCTACCTGTATTTTATCACCCAAAAAACTCTTAAGAGCACACTGCAGCACTAGGAGGCAGGCAGGCAACGGGAATGAAAGGAGCACAAACTCAGCTAAATAAGGGACTAAATACTGCTAGCCTTCCTTAGGCTAAGCTCATTCAGACTCTTTTCTTCCAAGAAGAAAACCGGTACCTTAAGTTTCAGGGAGTCAGTATCATAAGGGCTGGGTGTAAAATCAGTGTGGACCCTGGCTCGTCCACAGAAAGGTCCCCGATAGGGAGGCTCTTCATCATCACCATCTTCGGACTTCACACTCTCACGATTGCTGGCTGAGGAATCTGTTGTGCTCACTGTCTGACCACCTGTGTGGGGGAACCAAGATAACAACTTGCAAAAAGTATGCTTGTGAGAAGGGCTCATTAACACCAATCCATCTCTTGCACCGTTAGAGATGAGATGCAGACACAAATGCTACTTAAACTTTATTTTATTTACTTTGGAAATCCCTGCCCTGAAGCAGCAGCAGCAACAAAAAAAAAAAAAAAAAAAAGATGCAATTATAATTGAACTTACTCATTGAGCTCTGACCACTTAAGGAGCTCCTCAGGCTTTCTACTGAACCACCAGCTTTCAGTTTGGGTTTATCCAGTGAATCAGTCTCTGGCTGGGGTGACTGCGGAGAACCTGGCATTACATCAGAGCTGGAGTCCTGAAAGAGATTTGAACCCATGGCAGATTCCCATGCAAGATGGCAGGGAATGATTGCATGCAGCTGAGTGAAAACCTGGTACATATTCTACTACCTTTACCAGTGAGGACACAAGTTGTTATGACCTATGGGTTGCATTATGGTAAGGTGTAGGGGACCCAACTGAAGTCAGGCTCCCATTGTGCTAGGCACTGTATTATAAACTCATAATAGGAAACAGTCCCTGCCCTAGGCAACATACAGTCTAAACAGACAAGACAACAAATCGGTGAAATACATGGGGAAACAGAAATTAAGTAACTTGCCCAAAGTCACACAAAGTCTGTGGCAGAGCTGGGAATAGAAACTCCTGAATCATAGTCCAGTGCCTGTATCACAAAACCACCTTTCCTCCCCAAGCTCATTCATTTGTTATCTCTCATATTACAGATTAGGGAACCATTCTGTATAGCAGGAGTTTTCAAAGTTGGGTAGCAAGCCCACTTGAGTAAGCCGCTGGTGGGCCAGGAGATGCTTTGTTATCTAAGTGTCCATAGGCACGGAGACTCGCAGCTCCCATTGGCTGCGGTTCACTGTTTCCAACCAATGGGAGGTGCAGGAAGCAGTGTAGCCCGGCCTGCCAGTGACTTACCCAGGTGGGCCCATGACCCAACTTTAAAACTCCCTGCTGTATAGTATTTTTAAAATCCCAAGCTAAACATTTTATTTTATGCATTTTTATGTTTAAAACCCCAGCAGAGAATGTTTATCCTTCACATGCAATTCTGTTTAGAGATTAAAAATTAAGACACTAAGTATTTTAGGTGATAACGTTTGCCAAACAGTTAAAAGCATAATGCAACTTTCCAATTAAGTAAGTACATAATATAAGCAAAAATAAGTAGCACTGTGTAAATCAAGCAATTGACAAGGTGGGTGAGGTAATGCTGAGTTCTGAAGAAGACTTCTATGGAGTTTGATAGTTTCTCTCTTTTACCAGTTCATTAAACCACATCAACACCAAATGTCAGTGACGCCTCACCCACCTTGTCTTGCTAATATTCTGGGATCAACATAGATACAACAACACTGCAAACAGATGCAGAAATGGAAATTGTAAACATCTTACAACTTATTACTGCCATTTTTGTTAGTGTGCATGAAGAGAAAAATCAATTAATGAGAAAATGGAACACAGGCAGAAAGAAAATATAAACAAAAGCAAGGATGTTAAGACATTTATAAGGGGGAATTTTTGTTTTCATTCATTCATGCATTACAGAAAAGTCAAAAGCATCTTATCCATATTGTAATTGTGACAGCTTATCAAAAGACTTTCCATTTCTGATAGCTATTTGCTGTTAGAGCAGCATTTGTATGTTTTTGAACACATGCTGGCAGCACAGAGAAACTTAGTTTGAGAAATGATGCCACAAAGATAGATGGTACAGTATTCAAAACTGTTTGCAGCGTTTAAAAAATAAACGAAAACCAACACTGCTGATACACAAGAATAGTTGGCATTTTCACAGATGTGTGGTCATGAAATGATCTAAATGAAACCTATTATTTCTAATGCTGCAGAATCATCAGAAAATATCTCCCCAGTATATGACTATACAGGTCAAGTGAAACTCCAGAAAAAGCAGAAGCAGCTCATGATACTGTCTACATGTTTTGTTAGTCTCTAAGGGTACGTCTAGACTACAGGGTTTTGTCGACAGAAGTTTTGTCGACAGATTCTGTCCACAAAACTTCTGTCGACAAAGCGCATCTAGACTACATCAAGCCATAGACAAAACTATTTGCTTTGTTGACAGAGAGCGTCCAGACTGCAGGGCGCTCTGTTGACAGTAGAAAGTACCCGGAACTGCTTTGCCAGGTCTCAGGGGCAGCATGTACTTCCTTGTACTGCTGCCTGCACTTTGCAGAGACGCATGCTAAAAGGGGCATCCCCCCCGACTAGCCATTGCTCTGCTGCTGCAGCTGCCTAGAGGGATAGCAAAGGTTCTGCAGTGCCTGTTCGGAGTGCCCTGCTTCCTGGCACAGCACAGCAGTGTGGATTTTTTTTTTGAAGGTTTTTCCTAACCTTTGTTTACCATGGAGCGAGAGCTTCCCCTGGCCAGGCGCTGGCCCCACTCCACGGTGCTTCAAATGCTGCTGCAACTGCATGAGACTATCATGCTGTTAATGCCTGGTCCGGAACCTGAGCCCAGACTGGAGCCCCTCCTTCAGGATGCAGCAGCACGGTTCCTGCCTCCGAACTTTTTCCCGGACAGGCGATGTTGGAGGATGGAAACAAGTACGGACTGGTGGGACCGGCTCGTAATGGAGCAGTGGGATGATCAGGCTTGGCTCCAAAACTTCAGGATGCAGAAGTCCACCTTCCTGGAGCTTTGCAACTGGCTTGCCCCCACCCTGCAATGACAGGACACCCACCTGCGCCCTGGTCCCAACCCTGCAACGACAGGACACCCATCTGCGCCCTGCCATCCCGCTGGAGAAGAGGGTAGCTATTGCCCTCTGGAAGCTGGCCACTCCTGATAGCTACCGGTCAGTGGGACAGCAGTTTGGTGTGGGGAGATCTACTGTAGGTGCTGTGTTGATGGAGGTAAGTCCCTTGGGGACGGGGGGAGGGCAGTCCGTAAGGGGACTGTAACCGAAAAAGGGTGGGTGGCGGTTAATGGAGGGGAGGTGGTGGAGAGCTCCTGTGTCTTACACCATGATACTACTGGGAGCAATCACTGGGGGGGAGGGTTCGAGGTTCTTGGTGGGGACGGATGGTCGCCAAAGGACTTGGGCAACCCCTCTGACTTCATAGTCTGTGTCTGTTTGTATGTGTCTATTTTTTCAGGTGGTGAGGGCCATCAACTCACAGCTGCTGAATCGGATTGTCCGCCTCAGAGACCTAGACACGATCATGGCTGGTTTTGCAGGGCTGGGATTCCCAAACTGCGGAGGAGCGCTCGATGGAACGCACATTCCCATCCATGCACCACCCCATCAAGCCGCCCGGTATATCAACAGAAAAGGGTACTTTTTCATTATGCTGCAGGCCCTGGTTGACCACCGTGGACTATTTACGGACCTGTGTGTGGGGTGGTCGGGCCGGGCACATGATGCTCAGATCTTCCGCAATTCACACCTGTACGAAAGGCTGCAGACAGGAACCTTCTTCCCCCAGCAAACCTCTGCTATCGGGGACGTAGAGATGCCGCGTACCCCCTCATGCCCTGGCTTAGGAAGCCACACACAGGGCATCTGACCCCGAGCAAGGAAGTGTTTAATGTGCACCTGACGTGCCCGTTTACAGGTGGAATGCGCATTTGGCCGGTTGAAGGGAAGGTTTAGGTGTCTGCTAACTCGCCTTGACATGGGGGAACACAATATCCCAGAGGTGGTGGCAGCATGTTGCATCCTCCACAACCTGGTGGAGAGCAAAGGGGAGGCCTTCCTCCCAGAAAGGGGGCCAATGGCTGAAGGAGAGGGCAGGTGGTTTGCGCAGCCTCGGACAGCTGCCGTTCACCAAGCCCATCGGGGGGGAGGCTCTGCATCAGGGAGGCTCTGCATGAGCGCTTCTCAGCTGGATCCCTATGACTCAGCAAGGTATCCCCAATGGGGTCTGTGGGCCTTCCCCCCCATTCCAAAACCTCCCCTCCCACAATCCATCCCTGCATCAGCCTCTGAACAGTTAAGGTGCACACACCATGTTAAACTTGAAAAATATGTTTATCAAGGAGTAACGTTAGAATTTAGATCTGTTATACAAAATAGAATTGTTCAACCACTGTGAAAAATAAACTTTTTTTTAAACTATTAACCTGTGTTTATAACTGTGGTAGGAGGGGGGATTTCAACCTGGAGGGAGGGAGTGGGGGAGGGCAGACAACTTAAGGGTAATGGCAGCCTCGCCTGGGCCGCAAGGCTTTGCCACCCCTTGTCCGTGGACCCTGCTGTCCTCGGCCTCGAGTTGGGGCTGACAATGACTCTGCTCTAGCGGGGGGGGGAGGGGTAGGGCTGGAGGGGTGGCAGGGGCTGAGGGAGAAGAAGAGGGGCCAGAGGGGGTTGAGGGGGGCTGGAGCTGGATGGGCAGGAGGAGTCCCCAGGGGGAGAGGACCTGGCACAGCCAGGGACTCCTGGACGGTGGCACACATTGTGCTCCACTCTGGGAGGAAGTCCTGCAGCAGGCGAGTATGCCACCGAGCCTCCTCCCTCACTCTTTCAGCCATGGTCTCTTGCATTTTGGCCATGGTCCCCTCCATTTTTTCCATGGCCTCCACATGCCTCCTCAGGAGGTCATTGTAGGTCCTCCAATGCCTGCGGGTGCTGTGGGACCGGGTGGGTGGTGGCACAGGAGTTGCTCGGCGGACA